GTAATATATATATATACATATGCACAATTTTCATTAAATTATTAATTGATTAATATACTAATAGCATCACATAAATAATTTATATACTAACTACAATACATTTATGACACTTTAATGTTCACATATTCATAACAATTTTATCTTTATTAATTATCACTTGCTGTATATTATATTTTTCTGTATAGTAAACTATATAAGAATGTTGTTTAATGTATATTTCTATCAAATCCTAAAAAATTTGGTGGATTTTTAGATGATTTTACATCAAATTTAGAAGTAAACAATCATAAAAGAAACTAATTAAATCAACTTAAAACTTTCAATTCTATTAGTCTTTAATATATTTTTGTTTGTAGGAAATTATAGTGAAACATTGTATATATTTCCCTACAAATAATAAAAATTTCTTGATTTTTTTAAGAAGAAAATACCAATAGAAAAAATAATTAAATCAATATAATGCATAGCATATGTTTCTGTAAATTAAACTATAGGAATCTATTTGTATATAATACTTTCAAATTCTAAAAAAATTGCTAGTTTTTAGAGATTTTTAGAAGTAAATATCAATGAAAAAGAGACTAATTAAATCAACTTACAACTTTCAATTTCCACTGTACAAAATTGTCTATCCATAGGGAAATACCTTAAGTCCATTGGACAACTGGCTGTTACAGTCAATCTGTTAAGAAACAAAACAGAATTAGAGACTAGAAACAAGACTAAATTTTAATAAACAACATCTAAAAAAACCCCTATTGTCTCTTTCTAAAAAAACAATATTAATAATTTATATATATATATGTGATGTAATAATTAAGATACTCTTTACTACTCTACTCCTTATGTGTAAGTACTTATGTAGAAAAATGTGTATACATATGTGTATGTATGTAAATAATAAATAGATTAGAACACTTGAATAAGGTTATAAAATCGAAACGAGGTATAATAAATAGCTTATGTAGTGATTATTAACAAAAATGATTTGTCAGCCAGCCACCTGATCAGTAGTAACATATGGTGTTGTATCTTGTAGCGTCAAATGCTGTTTAGTTTGCTAGTGATAGCGAGGGAAAAGTTCATTGATTTTCTGTCACTGGGCTATCTACAATCCACAGAACATGCATGGAAGGCACACACTTACCTTGGATAATACCCTCGGACGTTTTACACATTCGCTTTTAAACCAATTTATTGTATCCAAAAAATTATTTTCATTGTCATTTCTCGTGTTTACCATCCCCGAAAATTGTGTTCATTACATACACATATTGTGTTTACAGTGTAGAAAATGATTATAAGTTGTTGTATTTATTAATCAAAACTTGTGTTAGTCGTTGTGTTTTATTTATCACATGAAATGTTTGTTTTGATTGGATTATTGTGTTTATAATTCACAGGTTTATATTGTTAGATTTATTTATTTTAATTCGCATTATACAATAGCGACAAAAGATTACTATCCTCAGTGCAACAATAAAAGCTGAGCAATAAACATACGAGGGAGAAGGAAGCAGGAAAGAGAAAAGAAAAAAATTCATTAAAATATGTTAATTTATTATTTGACTAGGATATTAAATTAATAATTTATATTAATGTTATATTTATAATACAAAAATTGTATTAATTATCGTTTCGGACATACGTAAAAATCTAAAAACTTTAGTTATTTACGGAGATAAACTAAGTTTTTTGAATACAAAAATTACGTAGAATATGACGTTCATACTAAAAAAATCCAGCAACGAGTTGCTTAACTTTCCCGGCAACATTTGGTAGAATAATCTGTTATCATATTTTTAATTATTCTAAAATGGCAAAAAAGCTTAATTTTCAGGGTAGGGATGGGTTTATAAACAATTGTAAATGATAATAACGAGTAAAATCGTCATTAAATTCGACCTTACTGGAGATGCGACACACGACACCTTTTTTTATCCCCACCCCCTCGACCTTTACCCAACAAAATTTAACAGCTTCAATCATCCTAATACACAAATCTCCCTAAAAGCATATGAGTTATTAAGCTTCAAACAGGGCGAACAAAATTGTGCTTCTCCAAACACACACTTAAACACAGTAACATCCATACATACAGAAATTACCCCAGAGTTTTTTTGTATTTTTCGACGATTTAATTCTCCTGAGTCCAAAAATGTAAAAATCTTTGAGGATCATTTTATGCCCGAATGCCTTACTTTCTCTCTTATATAATATAATATTATATAAGTTAATTGTGTTTATTAATACAATCCAAAAAGCACTTTTAACACCAAAAAAATCTCTAAAAACTTGCTATTTTTAGTAGTTTATTTTGGATTAAAATATAAAAATCTACATTATAACAACAGCTAAACATTTTATTATAATATAATTATAAAATTTAAAATGTAATGCCATTAAACATTTTATAAATTTAATTTAATTGCAAAAATTTCATTATCATCCTGTATACATTTATATATGATATAAATATAAAATTATGTATAATTTAATTCTAAAAATTTAATTATGAAAGTTTAATTATCATTGTGTAAATGAATGAAATGTTATATTATCATATATCTTTTACATTTATATAATTAATTAAAAATTAATGTAATTTTATATAATTATAATTGTAGTATAATGTCATATAATTATGGTTTCAAGTAAATGTTATTTAACATGTGTTATAAATAGTAAATATGGGATATAAGTACTTAAATTTCTAGGATTTTAAATAGCAAATATATAAAATTATTATTTATTTTAGAATATAATTATAATAATTTTAATTATTCTTAAATTACTTATTTAAAATATAAGAATTGGATGTAGATGAGTGAATATAATATGAGATTTATAGATATAAATGTGCTTAGAAAAGGGAGAAAATAGTTTTTTTTTCCTAAAAAAAATTTAAAATTCTTTTAAAAAATGTACTAATAATCCTTAAAATATAAAGGGATCTCTGCTTGTTTATATTTTAATGTAATTTATTGGAGCAAAAGTATAATTTTGTAAGTTTATGAAAGAGTTTTGTCTATAAAAGAATTCAAGAACATTCAAAAAAATTCCTAAAAATACAAAAGGATATCTGTGAATTTCATATTATTATTAAATAATTTTGTTTTTTTTGGTTCTAGAAATTAAATAATTTCTGTGTTTAAAAGTAAAGTTCTTGATTTAGTAAATTATCAAATAGTCATTTTGCATTTTTAGAAAAAATTTGTTTGTAAAAACTTCAAAAATTCTTGAAAAAATTCTAAAAATATAAAAGGGAATCTCTATTTGTTAATTTTACTTAAAATAATTGATATAAATTTCACAAAAATACAATTTATTTCTTTATAAAAATGTAAAAAAAAAAATTAAAAATTTCTCTAAAATATTTTCTAAATGGTCCTGAATATATATATATAAAGTTCTCTAATTATTATTTATATTTAAAATATAAAATATTAAAGTTTATTTTTCTAAAAAGTCATTTATTTTTAGATATAATTAACAAATACTGAGTAATATTTACAATTGATCTCTAAATATGTTAACAATTGCTTAGGATTTGCATTTATATCTCAAATAAGAAAAATAACAATACTTTTAACCTGTTAAAACAATTTAATTCCCATAAAAAAAACTCTTTACAGATTTGAAAAATCTAAAAAAAAATTATACCAAGAAACATATTCCAAATTCAGGAGATTGAGTTATGAAGAAGAGAAGATGGACAATTTAAGATGATGTTTAATTATTTCTTTAGGAAGAAAATGATATTGTCTACAGATAAGAAAAATCATTATTTATTAAGTTCAAAAAATGACATGTTGTAAGAATATTTTTTTTTATTTTTTTTTTGTTTTTAGAAAAGTATAAAAAATGGATCCACCCTTAAGCAATTGATCAGTCTGTTAGCAATCATATATCAAGTTAATGCTTCTTCTAAGTAAATATATATGTAGTCATATCTGATAGTAGAATTTTGTAATAATTTTCGATTTAAATTTCTTTTATAATATTCTATTTTTAAAGTTATTTATTACAAATTTAATCTCCATTTTCTTTTTTATTATTAATCATTGCAACATTACTAAAATAAGAGCATAAAATATAAGTAAAAAAAATGATAATTTTAGGCTAGAAAATCTAAGTTTTTATCTAGGGCCTAGTAATTTTAGAGGTTTTAATCACGTGTTTATAAGTGTTAGTATTGAAAGAATAAGTAAATTATGATATCATCATTTTTTCACTCTCTTAAGAAACTCTTGCTTATAATTAAATAGCCGTGAATATAAGAAAATAAAGGAAGTAAGAAGTGGCAATTTGAGATATATTTTGTCTAGGGCCTCTAAAATTTACAGGCCTCAGACACAGAAATGTATAGGCTACTTGTCGATATAGACCTTGATTTTACACCGAAAATATTACAAAATATAAGTAAGCAAGTATTTAAATATAAGAAGATAGAGTGATATCTAGTGACGGTCTTAAATGCAGACAATCTTTATTTTTGCCTAGGGCCTCAAATACAGAAATATATACCTATGAATACTCGATCTTTCTACAGCACTAAGTACTTACACGTATATGAAAATAGTAACAATAAGTAACTCAGGCATGATTTTTGATATTTAGAAGGCCCCCTGAAGGTCTCACGCCTTTAGGGAGCCTTCTGAATATCAAAAATCACGTGATATAAGCCTTATATTATTTTAAAAAAATGGTTTGCGACTCTAGGTTCAGTTAAGGCCTCTCACAATTTACTGGAAGTAAGTAAATTAAAAACTAAATATAATTATAAATAATATATAATAAATATCCAAGAATATATTTTATTTTTAGTTTGATCAAGCTTAAAAATGTTTTTTTAGAAGCTGATATATCTTTGTTGTATTCAGTTTTCTGTAGGTTGTTTCAATTTTATACACTACATCAGCTTCACTTACAAGTCGTGTCTCTCTAGAGAATCCCAAAGTCGCAAAGGGTGGAAAAGTATTCAAGAAAATATATATAAAAAATATTTTTAGAGTCGAAAAATATTTAAATTTAATGTATATACTGTAAATATTAAAAAAAAAAAACATATGTGTATGTGTGTGTAGCCCATACATACACACGTATGAAGTATAAAAGATGATGATAAAAGTAAGACTTTTTAGAAGAATTTTTTAAACATATATCTAATAAATTTAAATTATAATNATGTTAATATATAAAATATATTTATGTATATTTAGATATTTATTATAGAAGGGAAAATAGATTTGAAATTAAGAAAACTGGGATTTTTTTAAGAAGAAATACACCAAACAATATGTTTAAAATTAAATACAAGTAAAATTAGTAACGCGTGAAACCCATGCAAATTTGAATTAGGGGGCCAGGTGCTGTGTTGACGTCATTTGAGGAAATTTTGGGGGGAAGTATTTTCTTATAACAGATTGGTTTGAAGCCCCCCAAAAAGGGCAATTGCCTGGGACCCCAGGCAATTGCCCTTTTTGCCCAAAGGATAAAGTGCCACTGATTTTTTATATAAAAGAATAGGATTTAAAGTTAAATAAAATGAAAATTATTTCGTATTTTTAAACATTATATTAGATTAATTAAACAACTAAAAATTTAAAAAGTGAGAAATGTGATGCCAATAATAAGACATTTTAGAGTAATTTAAAAAAAAAAGTATTTAATAAATTTAAA